CTGCCTTCAGTGTATTACCTCATGAAAGGGTCGTCCACAGTTATATTATCTATGTCTTGAGAGTGAAGAAAATACTCTCATTTATCCCAAGGGTTCTTTAGACATATTGTCTCTCATGAATTATAAATTAAATGTTTATTTTATTCTACATATTTGTGTCATTGTAAGTATTGTTTCCTTATTATCCTTCTCTTTTGAACGGCTTATTATGATAATACCTGAACCACTCCTAAACTATTGCCTCGGCTGAACAGTGTTGGATGCTTTAACAACCTTATCCTTGCCTTTGCTGTTTAGAGGTTTCTGTTGGTCATTGGAGAAGATCTGATATTGGCAATTTAATAAGCTTTCATTAGATAAAGCAGGCATTACTGTGATTTTTCTCATTATTTCCAAAGGTTTCTGTGAATTCCAAAGTAATTCATAATCCTTGAGTATGCTATTAATATACAGTACTTTGATTGTACTACTGTAGTGTGATCTTAAGATTAGATATAGTACATGTGACATCATAAACAGAAACATATATGTATAATCACACAGTAAAACCAATATTTGTAAATCATTTATGTTAGATGTACATGTATAACCCTTCAGTTAGATATACATGTATTATTCTTTGCCTCAGTCTCATAATAAATGACACGGTCTACTTGATACATATTTTGTCAGTGTCTCAGTCCAGTGAGAACTGTTGCCTTCCAGAACATAAAATGTGACATACTGCTTTAGCTTTGTAAGGAATGAGGAAAGATGGGAATATGGATTAGAAGAAATAATAATAATAATAATTAATAATAATAATAATAATAAGTGAATAATCTTTTCAAGGTAATTTGGACACCAGCTCAAAGTTGCAGATCACTTATTGCCAAGCTGATGTTGCTATTGTTGTTGGTTAATGATAACGCGTTGATATTGTTGATGAATTTGCCTTAATAGTCTGTTGAAAAGGTAATAAGTTCATGATATTTATCTTGTATTTATGTATATATCAAAATGTGAATTAAACTTGGTATGAGCATTTTTGTTTTCTTTTTCTTTCCTTAGACAGGTAGTGTATTAGGTGTTGCATGTTATCATAGAGAAATGTAATGTAACACTAATATAAGGAGTTATGTGAGCTATTACTTTTTACTCTTACACATTATTCTTAATGAACATGTCACTGGTCATAGCACAATCAACTAGTTCAAAGATGAATTAAAGTAAATGTTACAATCTCAAAAATAAAATCGAAAAAGGAATTTTGACATTTTGTAATTGAAGGAAAAAACTATGAACATAATCTGAAGTATATAAGCTGATGATACATAGATAAAAGATTGTTTAAGCTAAGTTTGAATAGATACAATAAGATGATTCTAGTAAAAAGAACAGACATATAAGAGAATTAAGTCTGATGAAATGTTCCAGTCAGCAAAACAATAAATGTTTATAAAATTTGATTGTCATAGTAAATTGCAATCCATCTTTATCACACCTACAGTAAATCGGGGAAAGTTTTCACAGCTATTATATTGACTGACATCTTCATGTATATGGTGTATTCATGCTAGATACAGTATTAATTCTGCCATATGCTAGATATATAAACACATAAAATTTTAAATGAAAGTTTGATATAATTGAAGAGTTAAACAGTCTTCGTATTGAACATGGTGAGGAAAATGTGTGTGTGTGTGTGTGTGTGTGTGTGTGTGTGTGTGTGTGTGTGTGTGTGTGTGTGTGTGTGTGTGTGTGTGTGTGTGTGTGTGTGTGTGTGTGTGTGTGTGTGTGTGTGTGTGTGTGTGTGTGTGTGTGTGTGTGTGTGTGTGTGTGTGTGTGTGTGTGTGTGTGTGTGTGTGTGTGTGTGTGTGTGTGTGTGTGTGTGTGTGTGTGTGTGTGTGTGTGTGTGTGTGTGTGTGTGTGTGTGTGTGTGTGTGTATGTGTGTAAATTTACTTTTATATAAACAATTTTTGTCCACAGCTACATAGTGATTCAAAGGTATGTGCGTGTATGCACAATGCGTGTTTACAATGGACGCACACCTGAGTAAGGAATTCCTGAACATACGGATATGCCTTCAAGTCATCATTTTAACATGCATGTATGTCCATTCAGAAACGCACATATAAGTACATGTAATACAAATGTTCTACTCAAATGACCTTACATGCAACACACGTGCGCGGACGCATGTGCGTTTGTGAAATCGTGCGCGCCTGCTCAGTAAACGTGGGCGCCATCATGTATTGTCTTGTTTTACGCTGATTTATGCAACTAGGCGAGCGATATAAATAACACAGAATGCGAAAATATAGTAGTTTGACTAAATCAATGACTGGAATTTCTTCAACATTAGCAAAGAAGAAAGGGGGTGAAAAAATAACCTTGTAAAGTTGCCAAATAGGGATATCGTGAACCTAAAGCCCGTAACGTTTTATCTGCCTTTTCTTGTGTTTCATGATTAAATTCTTTATTAAGTCTGCTGTTGCAGCAAGTAGGCATGGCTGCATGCGAAATACAATATAGCAATTAATTCAATTATTCTTTTCGCAAATATTCTAATTGGCGAAATTTGGCTGTGATAAACCGGCATGGAATTCGCACCGACGGCATCATTTTTTTCTTTTTTATGTTTCGGCATAATAAATCGAATCAAAACCACCGATCCCTTCTTACATTCACAACCATTAGTAACCCTCTATGTACTATTTTATTGTTACATATGACTCCTACGACGGAAATGCCAAGGGAAACAAAAACTGAAATTAGAAATAAACAACAGATATCAATCGATGATAAAATGGAAGCTTTGCAAGTGATGTGGCGATTTTTTTTCTTTCTTTGTATAATTATTATATCGTTATCGTAATCTACGATTACACATTCGATATCTGATTTCATATCATGATAAAGGACTGAGATTTACTTCTTAAATGTGTTTCTTGGAGTTTAGTCATGCCTTGTTTCTGTGCATTATTTCTAATTCTAGTAAATAATGGTGATAATTTTGTCGTGGTAGCGGAATATTCAGCCTTGAAGGTCTTAGGCAGTTAGTTTGATTATTCTCATTCATTTTCCTTTCTTGTTGGATTCAGGCCACCATTTCTTCGTTAATTCGGCGAAGAATAAACTTGGGAAGCTTTTAAGCAATCAGTCATGTCATAGAATATTTCTATTACTCTCTTTGAGCTATTACATACGAGATGGTCATATGACGTTGTGAAACATTTTTAGTCCGATACAGTAATAGTTTCGAGTATTAGATTTCCCTGCTAGAAATTGCTACATATTATGTTCTTTTTCAGGGTTACTAAGGTTATTTATTGCAAATTATCCGCATATTAGAGCTTTTCAGTCATTGTACATACATTCTTTTAAAAGAGAAAGTTTCGTAGAATGATAAACTCCTTCAAAATATTGCGTGAAAAGATGGCTGATGTTTCCGACGATTTTTTATAAGCTCGTGTTCATTGGCGTATTGTATACCATTCAGATCATGTAAAGACACAAAAGAGAGGTATGATAAATAGGATAATTTGAATGATATCTGTATAAACTAAAATCCATTGATCTTAAAATAGCGCAGTTGATATAAAATATAATACGCGAAACTAGAAATGCGTGGTATGAATGGCTGTGCAGGGATGCCAACCTAATGCATGAGAAGAATCGAAATTTGAATTATTTGCACGTAACAGATTTTGAAGAGACATAAGATTACATTCTAGTTTTGTAATGTAAATCAAGATCATTATGTTCGATTACAGCAACTAAGATATGAGGAAAATTCCTATAAGGCTGAATTTAATGCATTGTTGGCTTCGCTCATTATAGCTTTTAGTCCAATATACTACTTGCTAAAATATTGTTCTGAACTGCATACAATTTTCAAAGATATAGACGCATTACAATTCTATTCGTATTGTGTTATCTGATTCTTCAAAAATATTTTTGCCTTAGCTTTAAACTGTTGGTATGTCGGAGACGTATCTGCTGTCCATACTTTTAACGGCATAACAATTTAGTTTACTTTAGAACAACACTTTACCTCATGTTTTCTCATTTCCCTCATAATACCACAATGTATCATGCACTAAGATTGAAAGTCATCTTAGTTACTAAATGAAAACTTGGCAGTTTTTTTTTTATTTAACCTAATATTCTCCATCATTACATTCAACCTCATTTCTATCATTGCAAACGTTGCCCAAACATATATAACCATTCTATCACAAATTTACCTTTACTACAACCCCAGTTCATCTCTGAAAACTTCTATGATCTACAATTTTCTCTGTTAACGAGAAAAATCGTTTTACGGTTATGTCGTCAGCTTTTCCCCTCCTTGGGTTGTATTCATATGAAGTAATAAAGGAATTATGTTGTTGCAGGCGAATCTGTTCATATTTCTTTTAATATCTGAGCCTAATGCAATTAAAAAGTGTTACTGGGTTATTTCGGAAGTCCTTTATCTCAAGACGTGTCTGAAATGTGCATAAGAAATCAATTGTTTTGTGCAAAAACAGAATGGCATGACGATGATCTTTTGATGAAATTCTTATAAGAAATCCGACTTTTCTGGACAATAGAGAGGCATAAAGACAAAAATACATGCAAAAACACAAAGGAAGAGTATATATTAGGTGGAAAGAATAGACATATCTATTCTATAGATTTCATTCAATATTCAATTGACTCGAGGCTTTGAATAGTGTCATATCCATCCTGAAAAATGCTGTCGTATGACCACACATGCAGGCAATCTATCTGCACAAATCCCTCATAAAATCGGCCTCTACAACTCCCCAGCAGCCGATTTTGAGCAACATGCATTAGCCAAAGCAAACCCCACAGCTTAACCCGCCATTCTCGCGCAGGGAAGGCCTCATTACAGGACCTATGTATTTAACATACAAAACGCATTCTATACTTCATGTCTTTGGAACGTGTGTAATGTTTTCCCCTGGAAGATACTATTTTTATTAATGAATCTCGTCCCACCACGTTAAAA